CAAAATCAATGTCCAAAAATCACAAGCATCCCTATATACTAATAACAGACAAACAGAGAGCCAAATCATGAGTGAACTCCCATTCACAATGGCTACAAAGAGAATAAAATATCTAGGAATACAACTTACAAGGGATGTGAAGGACCTCTTCAAGGAGAACTACAAACCACTGCTCAAGAAAATAAGAGAGGACACAAACAAATGGAAAAACCTTCGATGGTCATGGATAGGAAGAATCAATTGTAAAAATGTGAAAATATTGTGAAAATGGCCATACTGCCTAAAGTAATTTATAGATTCAGTGCTATCCCCATCAAGCTACCATTGACTTTCTTCACAGAATTTAAAAAAAAAAAAAAAACTAATTTAAATTTCATATGGAACAAAAAAAGAGCCTGTATGGCCAAGACAAGCCCAAGCAAAAATAACAAATAAGAGGAGAGGAAGTTAACTTGTCTCTGTTTGCAGATGACATAATCATTTTAGAAAACCCGTAATCTCAGCCCAGCCCAAAATCTTTTTAATCTGATAAGCAACTCCAGCAAAGTCTCAGCATCTCAGCATACAAAATCAATGTACAAAAATCACAAGCATTTCTATACACCAACAATAGACAAACAGAGTGAAATCATGAATGAACTCCCATTCACAATTGTTACAAAGAGAATAAAATGCCTAGGAATACAACTTATAAGAGATTTGAAGGACCTCTTCAAAAAACTACAAACCACTGCTCAAGGAAATAAGAGATGACACAAACAAATGGAAAAACATTCCATCCATGCTCACGGATAGGAAGAATCAATACTGTGAAAATGACCACACTGCCCAAAGTAATTTATAGATTCAATGCTATCCCCATCAAGCTACCACTGACTTCCTTCACCGAATTAGAAAAACTACTTTAAATTTCATATGGAACCAAAAAAACAGTCCATATAACCAACACAATCCTAAACAAACAAACAAACAAAAATGCTGGTGGCCTCATGCTACCTGATTTCAAACTACACCACAAGACTAGAATAACCCAAAACAGCATGGTACTGGTACCAAAGCAGATACACAGACAATGGAACAGAGCAGAGGCCTCAGAAATAATACCACACATATACAACCATCCAATCTTTGACAAACCTGACAAAAACAAACAATGGGAAAAGGATTCCCGATTTAATAAATGGTGTCGGAAAAACTGGCTAGCCATACGCAGAAAACTGAAGCTGGACCCCTTCCTTACACCTTATACAAAAATTAACTCAAGATGGATTAAAGACTTAAACATAAGACCCAAAATCATGAAAACCTTAGAAGAAAACCCAAGCAATAACATTCAGGACATGGGCATGGGCAAAGCCCTCAAGACTAAACTACCAAAAGCAATGGCAACAAAAGCCAAAATTGACAAAGGGATCTAATTAAACTAAAGAGCTTCTGCACAGTAACAGAAACTATCGTCAGAGTCAACAGGCAACCTACAGAATGAAGGAAAATTTTTGCAATCTGTCCATCTGACAAAGGGCTAATAACCAGAATAAATGGTAGTTACAGGGACACTAGTAAGTATGGGTAGCATGTATCTAACAATAGTCCTCCTTACAAGTGGTTTCAGTAACCTGCAGTCAACCATGGCCCACAAATATTAAATGGAAAATTTCAGAAGTAAACAATTCATAAGTTTCATATTGCACACCATTCTGAGATTTCATTTCAGCAGGAAATCTCATGCTGTCCTGCTCTGTCCCACCCAGGACACAAATCATCCTTTGTCCCATGTATCTGCACTGTCCACACTGCCTGGCTGTTAGTCACTCAGTAGCCATCCTGGTTACAGATCGACTGTGGTGGCATCGCTGTGCTTATACTCAAGGTCAGCAGCACGTAAAGCTATGCTGTGACGTCTACGTCACGCGCCTCATTTCCTCCCATCACATAGGCATCTTATCATCTCACATCATCACAGGAAGATGAGGACAGTACAGCAGGGTATTTAGAGGGAGGCCACATTCAGGTAACTTTTACTACAGTATATTGTTATGATTATTCTATTATTATTAGTTGCTGTTAATCTCTTACTGTGCCTAATTTAGAAAGTAAACTTCATCATAGGTATCTGTGTGTGGGAAAAGCGTGGTATCTATAGAGTTTTTTGCTATGTGCAGTTTCAGGTGTCTGCTGGGGTCTTGGAACATATCCCCCATGGATGAGGGGGGACTACTGTATCTGTAGCCAAGCCCTGGTTTTCTCTCTATTGGGTGCGCGGCCTTGGGTAAGATGCCCGAGGATGTAAAAGGCACACAAAAATGTTTGGGAGGAAACAAAGCACATCTCATTATGACAGTGTTATCACCGTGTCACACGGGGATGTGGCCACTCAACCACAGGACCCCTCCCTCCTCTAAGTGTCAGTGGGAAACAGTTTCAGTCCCCAGTGGAAACTTCAGAAAGAAACCAGCTCACCAGCTCCAAGCCTGAAATGTCCTGGGAGCATTAAACTTTCTGGCTGCTTATTGCATCCAGCTGAGGGGTTCTGTGCTGCATTTATCACATGGACAGGGAATCCCCAGGCTTTTCAGGGGCTAGAAATGTCTCCAACCCCATTCTGATACAAAGAGAATCCCTGGATCTGCCAGATGCTGCAAACTAATACCATGGAGAGACACAAAAGACACATGGCCTCTGCCTTCAGCCAGGCGGGGAAGAGACTATGCACATAAAATAAACAAGGCTGGACTGGTCAGGTAAGGAGGAGGCAAAGCTGGATCTGGAAGGGTGGGAGCTGCGGAAGCAGAAAGGATTAAAGAAGGCTTTCCCAGCAGTGGAACAGCTAGAGCAAAAGGTGGTGGCACACATGGCAGGCACGGAGGAAGCCAGCTAGCACGGAGGATCTGTGGCTCCGAGATGGGGGATCCCAGCTGCCCAGACAAGGATCCCTTTGGTGGTCCTGTCTGAGCATCATGGCTCAGAAGTCTCAAGAGACACATGGACAGTCACACAGACTTGAAAACTGGTTAGCACCAGACTGGGAAAGACCTTGAGTTCCAGTCTAATGAGATGTGAGCAGAGGCATAATAGCTGACACAGTGTCTGCTGGTGGAGGTGATGAAGGGTGGCCCGTAGGACGCCTCTGCATGAGTCCAGGTCTGGGGTGTGGATTGCGGGAGAGGAGGATGTGGGCACCTCCTCATTCTCAGCCCTCATCATCCTGGCGCCAGGTTTGCCATCCTCACTGCTGATCAGTCCTTATCTTTTGAAAAGTTTTCCCTCCCGGTATCCAAGACCCTGAGCTGCCCTAGGTCTCCTCTTACCGTCACAAACATTCCTGATCTGGGACGTTTTTCTCTTTCAGCCAGTAACTGGTGTTCCTTAAAGCACAGAACACGCATCTGACACTGTCTTCTTTCACGCATTCAGCCTCAGTCCGTTTTTCCAGCTTCCTCACCTCCACTGTTATTCGTGGCTTTCAGCCCTAATGATCATGTTTTCAGCCCTGTCCTCTGGAAGCTCAGACGCTTGAGAAAACTACTGTACCTAGTCTCTCCTCGCTCCACTCCTCCTTCCACCCAGCTTCCTAGGATCTAAATTGCTTCCATTTGTTAAGCATTTTCTATAAACCTGGTATATTTCATGCAATGTTCACTGTGGAGGTATTACCCCATTTTACACATGAAGAACCTGGGAGGCTAAGTGACTTGGGATTAGGTGAGGAGGCTAAGTGAGAGGCTGTGTGACTTGGGAATAGGAGAGGAGGCCACTAGGCTCCAGAGTGCTGATGGCTGAGACCATGCTCCAGGTGCTTTCCAATGCTCTGGACACATCTCTAGCTCCCACAATAAATCTCCTGCCAACACAGTCCTGCTCAGCTCAGCCCACCCTTGCTGCTCAGACACTGATATGACCATGGGTCTCCAGCCTGGGGTTCCTGGTATCAAAGACATCAGAGCTGGGTGGACCCTCTGGAATCCAACAGCTTCGTTTTTAAAATGGGACTCTGAAGCTCAGAGAGGGATGTGGAGTTAGCCGAGATCACAAAGAAAATGAGAGGCAGAGGCAGGACTAGCCCCGAGTTCTTCTGATTTCCCGTCTCATCCCACTTACACTAAGGCTTTCTATTTGCCTAGTGATTCATATTTTGCAAAATGTGTTGACATTCAGTATCTCTCATGGTTTCCTTGCCATAACCCTGTGCCTAGATATTCCCTATGTAACAGATGAGGAAACTGAGGCCAATGGAAGTGAGGAGACTTGCCTAAGGTCAAGCAGCTGGGTGAGTGACAACCGTGGACACTCAGGAACCGCTGAGTTGAAAATGGGGTCACAAGGTGGCAGTCATGAGGATTCAACGTAAAATCCCATTTCTATGCAAGTACAAGAAACAAAGCCCAGACAGGCCTCAGGGAAAGTGGGAATAGCAGGCCTGGAACCAGAGTCCCTGTCTCAGGTGCTCAGGGCTGTGATGTCTCTCCCCTCTGCTGCCCAGCACATCTTTTATCATCTCTGGACGACCTTCATTTTCTTCTCCTCCATCACCTCAGCCGCCCTGTGACCTTAGGTTGCCAGCACACTAGCTCTGGGGTGACAGAACCCTACGCACCCACAGGTCATAATTAGATTTTCAGCAGAGGCATCTGCTCAGTGCAGGCTGGGGCACGTGCGCACCCACGGTAGAACTCAGGAGTGGCTGGGTTACCGGCTACAAACACGGCTACCTAATGCCTTGTTTTCTATGATGTGGGTGGTTCCCAGAGAAGGCCCTGTGGGCAGCTGGGCATCCTGTCCTGCATTACAGGCATGAATTGAGAGCTGATGTGTTACCCAGTGCCACAGCTGCGCTGGCCTCCTTGTCCTTTTCATCCAGCTCAATAAAGGTTTGACCTAATCTGTGCAAGCTACTGTGCATGGTGCTGTGTGCAGCTCACCTTCTGTCAACCCCAGCCTTCCTTTGCCAAGGGCAGGGACAGAACAGGGAAGTCTTTGTCTCTCCTTATGAGGCAGACACCATGCAGAGCCTCGGCAAGGAAAACCACAGCTGTGTGTCCGAGTTCATCCTCCTCGGCTTCTCCAGTGAGACGCAGGTCGGAATGGCCATGTTTGCCCTCTTCCTACTCCTCTACCTCACCATCCTTGTGGGCAACGGACTCATCGTCATGCTGATCTACCTGGACTCACACCTCCACACGCCCATGTGCCTTTTTCTCAGCGTCCTCTCTCTGGTGGACATGAGCTATGTCACTACCACTGTGCCCCAGATGTTGGTTAATATGGTGTGTCCACAGAGGACCATCTCCTGGGGAGCTTGTGCAGCCCAGATGTTCATCTTCTTGGTCCTGGGCATTGCTGAGTGTGTCCTCTATGCCATTATGGCCTATGACAGGTACGTTGCCATTTGCTTTCCCCTTCACTATATGCTACTCATGACCCGTTCCATTTGTGTCAAGATGGTCATTGTCTGTTGGTCCATTAGCATAGCTGGGGCCCTGATCTACACTGTCTTCACCATGCATCTGCCTTATTGTGGCCCCTACAAGATAAACCACTTCTTCTGTGAGGTCCCTGCTGTCCTGAAGTTGGCCTGTGCAGACACATCTTTTAATGACAGGCTGGACTTCATCTTGGGTTTCATCCTGCTTTTGGTCCCACTCTCCCTCATCCTGGCCTCTTACGTCCTCATCTTTGCCTCCATCTTCAGAGTCCGCTCAGCGCAGGGGAGGCTCAAGTCCTTCTCCACGTGTGCTTCACACGTCACTGTGGTTACCATGTTCTATGGGCCGGCCATCATCATGTACATGAGGCCCGGTTCTTGGTATGACCCAGAGCGGGACAAGAAGCTAGCGCTGTTCTACAATGTTGTCTCTGCCTTCTTCAATCCCATCATCTACAGCCTCAGGAACAAGGATGTAAAGGAGGCCTTTTTGAAAATATTCAGAGTCAGAAGGACAGCTTAATGACTCAGGATGTTTCAGAGTTGTCCATAGTCATACACAGACTGGATGGGCTCATTTGGTACCACACAGGTACCTCAGTTCTGACCAACCTGAGTCTCCCTGCAGCTGTGAGCAGCCAGAAGAGGGTATGGCCAGCCCTAACCTGAAAGTCTATCATTGATTGGAAAATGTTCAGCTCCCATCACCCAAAGACTCAGTTGAGTATTGAAGGCAAAGGATTTCTTTACAACGACTATGTCCTTGTGGTTCGTGGCCATTGCTTTTGTGCTTTTCCTGAGTTCTCTCCTTACCTCTGGAAGTTTATGTCAGTTCTGCATGATGGCAGTCACATGTTTAATATGCACACATGCTCTTTCAGAGTGTGAAAATGACACAAAGAGTCATTTGGGGTAAAAATTACATAAAGAGCAGCAGATTATGCAGGGACACAGTCTTTCATTACTGTCTTACAAACGCAAGTAATATTTAGCATTGCTTTTTGCACTAGGTGCTTATAAAATCAGAGCTAGAATTATTTTAGACATATATGTGTAACAATATGGCTAATAACTAGTCTAGTCTGGTCTGGGCTCAGCTTGTAGAATTGATTCTTACCTGATCAGTTTAAAATTCACATTTTCAATCTCATTTTTTTTTTGGGGCAAAAGATTTGAATAGACATTTCTCAAATGAAGGTATACATATGACAAACAGGCATATGAAAAGGGACTCGATATCCCTGATCATCAGAGAAATGCAAATCAAAGCTACAGTGAGATATCGTCTCACCCCAGTTAAAATGGTTTTTATCCAAAAGTCAGGAAATAACAAATGCTGGTGAGGATGTGGAGGAAAGGAAACCCTCGTACACTGTTGCTGGGAATGTAAATTAGTACAACCACTATGGAGAACAGTTTGGAAGTTCCTCAAAAAAGTAAAAGTAGAGCTATTATACAATCCAGCAAGAAACCACACTGCTGGTTCTATATCCAAAGAAAGGAAATCAGTATGTTCAAGAGATTTCTGCACTCCCATGTTTGTTGCAGCACTATTCACAATAGCCAAGATTTGGAATCAACCTAACTGTTCATCCACAGATGACTGGATAAAGAAAACATGGTACCTGTACACAATGGAGTACTATTCAGCCATAGAAAAGAACGAGATTCTGTCATTTGCAACAACATGGATGGAAATGGAGTTTATTATGTTAAGTTAAATAAGGCAGGCGCAGAAAGACAATCTTTACATATTCTCCCTTATTTATGGAATCTAAAACATCAAAGCAATTGAACTCTTGGAAGTAGAGAATAGAAGGATGGTTACCAGAGGTTAGGAAAGGTAGTGAAGGTCAGAGGGACTAGCAGAGGAGGTGAGTATTGTTAATGGGTACCAAAAAATACAAAGAATGGATGAGATGCAGTGTTTGATAGCACTATAATAAATAATAATCTAATTGTACATTTAAAAATAACTAAAAGAGTATAATTGGATTGTCTATAAAACAAAGGATAAATGCTTGAGAGGATAGATACCCCAAGACTACAATGTTGTCTCTGCCTTCCTCAATCCCATCATCTGCAGACTCAGGGACAAGGATATAAGGGAGGCCTTCCTGAAAATACTTAGAGTTAGAATTATGTGACTCTAAGTCAAAGAATTATATGATTATTATGGATTGTTTGCCTGTACTAACATATCTCATGTATCCCATAAATATATCCCCCTACTACGTACCCATAAAAATTTTAAAAAAATAAAATAAATCTCATTTTTATTTGAGAAAACAGACACAAGTTGATCATCCCTTATCAGATATACTTGGACCCAGAAGCATTTCAGATTTTGGCTTTTTTCACATTTTGGAATGTTTGTATTACACTTACTGTTTCAGCGTCCCTCATCTGAAAATCTGAAATCTGAACACTCCAATGAGAATTCCTTACAGCATCAAGTGGGCACTCAAAAGATTTCAGATTTTGGAGGATTTCGATTTTGGATATTTGGATTAGGGATACTTAACCCATATATACATTTCATAAAAGAAAAATATATGTGTGCATTGTGCATATCTATATCTGTATGCACCTATCAATAGATAGATGCAGAGATAAAAATAGAGATACAGAAACAGAGATTATAGAAAATTATATAACAAAGGTTTTATTTTCCCCCACATAAAAGAAACACTTGTTAATATTTTGCCATTTTTAGTCTGTCTTTTTTTTTTTTTTTAAAGGATTACCTAATAACAGATAAAGTTGAAGTGCCCTTTGAACATTTCAAATTTCCCTGAATCAACCACAATTGCATCCATGAGCAAGGAATAGGATTGTTCTTGTGTGTGTTTAAATTTTTGTAAGTGGTAGCATGATGTCAGTACAACTCAGATAAGATTTTAACTCAGCTTCATGTTTCTGACATCTACTCATTTGACAATTATAGGGGTAGCTCATTCTCTTTAATAAGTATCTGAGCTTATTTCAGTTGTCCAATTTCCTACTGTTGAATATTGGTTTATTTCCAATTTTTCATGATTTAAATAATTCTATGACTAATGACTTTGGGCATTTCTCCTTATGTACACATTTTTTAATGCATAGAAGTAGACTTTGCAGATTGCAGAATCAAAGAAATTTCCAGTGTATTAGATACTGCAAAGTATTTTTCCATGTAGTTATACCAACTACACCTCTCACCCTCACCAATGCTTGACATTGTTTCTCTATCTCAAACATTCTAATGCGTCCATCCATCTCATAGATGAAACGTGGCAACATTATTTTTTGTTTCATTTGCAATTCCCTGGTTGTTAGTGAGTTTAACATCTCTTCATGAGATTGTCGTTAGTGTCGTGTAGTGCAGCAGGCTCTGGAGTCAGACCGCATGGTTTCAATTCCAGTTCCATCCTTTATCACCTCAGTGACAATGGGCAAGTAGCCTAACTTCTCTGACTCTCAACTTCCTCATCTGTAACTGGAAGGAGCAGTATATGCATGAGAAGGTTTTTAGAAGGAATAAATGATATAATACATGTAAAGTGCTTTCTGTAGTGAATAACAAATACTAAGTGCTCAATGAATGAGATATTGCCTTTTCTTAATTTGTAGTTTGTTATACATTTTGGACATTAATTTTTTGTCTATTACATGCATTGAA